TATTGTAGAGGTCAGTCTGAAGATTTCTCAAAAAGCTGGGATTGGAAGTCCCCTTTGTTCCAGCTATTCCACTTCTAGGCATATTCCCAGAAGAACTGAAAACATCATACCACAGTGATATATGTGCACCCATGTTTATAGCAGCACAATTTGTAATAGCCAGATCTTGGAAACAACCTAAGTGTCCATCAACTGAGAAATGGATAAAAAGTTGTGGTATTTTTATACAATTGAGTACTACTCAGCTATAAAGAATGATCACATTGAGATATTTATAAATAAATGGGCGCGGCTTGAGACCATACTCATAAGTGAAATAAAGCAAACTCACATGTATGAATACCGAATAGTTTCCCTAGTGTAAGAAATGATACAAATACACAAAAGCAGGTGGTAATCATGATTGCCCATTATATGGCTTTGAAGCCTTATAAAGTTTTCACTCATTAATAGGAACGGTTTTATTCTGGGCTGTTTGATATTATTGTCTGTGATGATATTAACAGCTATTTTGAAGAAAACAAGACATCATAATAGCTAGTGCTGATTTAATATCATCTTGTTTTGAAGTTCCATCAAATTGTTGTTCTTCTGTCTCCATTGCTTTTATCATGTATCTTATTGGATTTCATTATATGTGATATTATAAACAAAATTTTTTATAGGCAAGGAGATAATATAGAAACCATTGTTTGTTTTCTGTTAGCTGGTTCTAAATGCCCTGTAATACTTTCATCCTCTTGAATGGTTTCAGACTGTCTTGATATGTTTGATGCTATAGTATACGAAGTTATACTCAAATATTTCAAGGAAAGAGACACTATGGTAACTACTATTAAGTTGGGTTATCTTGTGGTGAAACACTATGTTGCTTAAATTGTTCTGTTCTGACCTGTATTGTTACGTTATGTCTTTTATCTCAATCTCCCCTTTTTTTTTAAATTTATTTTTTATTATTATTTTTTAATTAAGGGAAAAAATTAGCAGGATACATTATAGTAACTTTTTTGATTTCCTATTAACTTGATATGAAGCCCTATATTGCTCCCACCATCTTGTTTTGACTGATTTTACTCTGTTCTGCTCTGTTTGATGGTATCAAGTTTGAGGGTATAGGCAACTACTTTGAAGACAATAAGATTCCCTATGATGCCCATTCTGGTTTGACTATTATCTTCTTTTGAAGTTCTGTAATGTCTCCAATGTTTAGGTTTTATTGGTCTTGTTCTGTACTGTTTTATTCAATTATATTATACCTGATGATATAGGCAATTCTTTTTAAGGTAGCAAGAGGATTATGGTAACCATTGTTGATTATCTTGTATTCTGTTTTCACATCATGTACTATGTCCATCCTTTGTTTTCACTGACTGCTTTGTTTTGTCACATTTGGTTTTATTCTCTTCCAAAAAAAACCTAATATGAACCGTGGGAGTAATTATTATTAAAAAGAGAGGAAAAGAAAGTGCTCTAAAGGATACAACTGCAAGTGTGTTTAGGTGTGTAAGATAGATGACCATATTACTGAGTTTTTGTTGGATCATTGAATACAACTGTTTGCAGTCTCACTGTTTGAATGTCCACTTTGTATGCTTTAATTTTGTAACCTGAACAACTATTTCTAAGATGACCATATGTAATCTATTAACTAGTGATTTCTTACTGTTTTTTTTTGAAATTCTGTATTACCCTTTTACTATTTTGGTTTTTTTCTTTAAATAAACTTTAAAAAAGTTATTTCAAGATAACAGAGAAAATCAAACAAGTCTGTAAGTGTTGTGAGGTAACTGACCACTGACTACTCCCTCTAAAACTATTTACAGATACTTTAACCACTTATAGTCCAATTATTTAAATAGTGGATAACCAAAAATTGGATCTTTTGTTAATTTTTATAACAGGAAATATCAAAATGACAATGTTATCACATTTATTCAATACAAGAATCAACTGGTTGAAATGACACCTGTCTAAATAACACTCGTACTAGGTAGCACGTAAACAAACATGTTATTCAAGTGATGCTGGGGGTTAACTGTTAAGTGGTTAAACCATGATAGATTAAGTAACTCAATTAAGAGTATATTCACTTATTGATTTATATAATTACATAACTATATAATAACATAATTATGTAACCATATAATTACAATCTACATCATTATAAAGTGTGATTTATAAAGTTATTACACAAATTTATAAATTCTGTAATAGAGGTATGAGACAAAGCCTGTGGAAATACAGTTATGGAGAAATAAGAAAGATTTTATAGCACTAATGACAGTTTTGCTGAACCTTCCTTTTTTGAATAGAATTTTGTCAAATGTTTGGTAGAAGAATGTATTTTTCAAAGATGATTCTATCAGCTTACATCATATGCAAAATGGTTTTCATCCAATATGACACTGACACTCCACGGACAGGATGAACTTGGGCAGGACTTTGTTACTGCCTGATGAACAGAATATGGGGGGAGGAACCCCACAGCATGACTTTCAAGATTACTCAGCTTCTGCTGGGCCCTTGCTTCCCCGGGATGCTCATGCTAGCAACCCAGCCACCATGCTGTGAGGAAGCCCAAACCCGCCCATGTGTAAAAGTCACATGGAAAGGCCCCTGCGGGGAGGCACTGAGGCCTCCAGTCAATATTCAGCAGCAACTGCAGAACTGTGAGTGTGCAGGCCTTCAGATAATCCCTGCCCCAGCCTGAGTTCCCAGTCACATCCCAGTTACAACACAGAGGAAAGACAAGGCACCCTCACTGTGCTCTGTCCTAATTCCTGACCCAGAGAATCCATGAACACAATAATGATTATTCTATACAACAAACTTCTATGGCAATATGTTATGCAGCCAAATTAACTGGAACAAAGATATTCCAAAGAGAAGAAACTACACAAGTAAGGGGCATCACAGAGCATCATGAGTATTGGTAGTTATGGATGATAAGGCCAGAAAGACTGGCTTGTGATTAGACTATGAATGTTTTACTGTTACAGTATTAAAAAAAATCAAACATCCTACTGGCAATTGAGAACTGTTGAAAGTCTATAAGATGGAAAGTGGAATGCAAAAATCTGCATTTTAGCAAGATATCTCTGAGACCAATGTCAAGTAGGGATTGGAGAAAACTCCCTCTGATTAAGATGGATTCTGGCCAAGCCAAATGGGAAGCATTCCTCAGGCAGCATGTTTTGTGACTTTCCCATCCTCTTTTGGGTTGTCTCTGAAGCTCATCTTCACTTGTATTAAAATGGTGGGGAGAAAATTTATGGATTTACAAAACCTCAGATGTTTGTAAGTAATTTTAGTCATAACTGCCAAAACTTGGAAGCAACCAAGATGTCCTGCAGTAGGTGAATGAATAACACTGTGGTATATCATCCTATTCAGCACTAAAAAGAATGAGCTACCAAGCCACGGAAAGACATGGACGAACCTCAGTGCATATTACTAAGTAAAAGAAACCAATCTGAAAGGCTACATATGTATAATTCTAACTCTATAATATACTGGAAAGGAGGGAGGTTGGGAAGGAGGAATTTTTAAGGCAGTAAGACTACTCTGTACAATACTTTAATAGTGTATTCACGTCATTTGTTCAAGCCCACATGATATAAAACTCCAAGAATGAACACTAATGTAAACTAGGGTCTTAGAGTGAAAATGGTGTGTCAATATAAGTTCATTAATTGTAACCAATGTACCACTCGGAGCAGAATACTGAGGGTAGAAATGCTATGTACGCATGGGGATGTGGGGATATGGGCATATGGGAACTCTGTACTTTCCATTCAATTTTTCTGTGAATCTAAAACTGCTCTCAAAAAGAAAAACTATTTTTAAAAATGTGAGGAGGGAAAAACTGTTACACAATGTTACATATGACAGTTTTCTTTTCTTTTCTTCCAAGCTTTTGGATATGGGATCTACTACTTAAAGTGCATTATTAGGCTACTAAAAAAACTGTCTAAAAATTCTAACTGTTTGTTATTAAACAACCATATGAATGTTATCTTTATACCTATATTTTTATACCTTATCTTTATATCTATATATGACCAAAACTTCCAATTTCTTGTTTCTGTCTTTATCACTGCTCTCACAACTGGCTTTATAAAAAATTTTTTATGTGAATTTGGAAGGTAAATTCTATACTAATATATTGTAGCTTTTATAGTTTGGATATTGTGACTCTACATAGAGGGAAATTGTGAGGTGCAAGGCCCAAAGGTGGGAGATGAAAACTCAAAACATGAGGAGCTCCCTCTGTGATGAGAGAAAGGATGCCTGGAAGAATGTAAAAGCAAAGGCACAGGAAGGGATGAAAGATACTTCTGAGAGCATTTCCTTCTTATTTACTGTAAGACTTTCCACTCTACTTTCTGAGAAAATTTAAAGAATGTAGAGTTAATTCAGCGTTCAAGGACAATAAGGACAGGGTGGAGTGGCTCAACTAGGAATCAGATCCTAGAGGATCTTGCGTAGCAGTAGAGTCCAGTTCAACAGTGTATTGGCCTTTATTGGGGGCCAATACTGTATAATTTGATACTATGCCTTTCTCTACTGTTAATTATTCAAGAGATGGTTTAGTCATTTGTGACACAGACAATATGTCTCTTGCCTTTTTACATGTTTGCTTAATGCCTGCTTTTGAAACATTTATACATTTATCAAAAAGAAGTTAATAAAAATAAGAAAGTGAAATAAATGTTCCATTTTAACCTTTTTTAAAAATTTAAGGGTTGTGATTATTTCAGAAAGAAAATAACAAAAAGAAAAAAGAGGGGAAAATACTAAAACAAATGGTAAAATTAGAATACAGGACCATAGGGAGGTTGAATTTATCTACACTATTTCTTATTCCTCATTACCAATGCTAAATAAAAGTCAATTGTTCCTATATTTCACAAGATAAAGTCTTTTATATGTGCAGAATCCCTGCTCAGTGTTTCTTATTCCTGCTTCTGAATCAACTTCATATCCATTAGCCAAATTACCTGCATCGCAGAGGTTAGACGCTTCCACTTCCCCATCTGACAACCACGTAGTTGGAGAGAGAACAGAAGGAGGTATTATTGGCAAAGATGGCTTTGGATCCTCATCATAAAATAGAATCAGGTCCTGACAGAAAACAAGAAAACAAAGGAGTTTTTTAAGATCCCATTTGGGATACTGATGTTCATATAGTCAGGCTACAGAATATTATCTGTTACCATCAGGAAGATCTTTTTTCTTTTACAGCCCCAACTAATATGTTCCTACTAATTTGCTTTTTTCTGAATTTTAACATTTTTTTAAAATTTTTTTTTGTCTTTTTCGTTTTTATCGGTAGTAGGGATTGAACTCACGACTGCCTGCTTGCAAGGCAGGCACTTATGCCGCTGAGCTAAATCCCCAGCCCCTAGAATTTTAACATTTAAAAAATATTACACAAAGGTAATCATAAGCATGAACTTTCTAGGATTGGTATTTTTCACCTGATTCCTAGAGATTCATCTAGATCACTGTGTATATTCATAGTTCCTTCCTTTTCATTGCTGAGTAGTATTCATGGCATGCAAGTTTGACACATTAAAGGACATCTATATAATTTTTAGATTTAAGCTGTTATAAATAAAGCTTCCATGAACATTTATGAACAGGTTTTTATATGATGTATGTAACTTTTATTTCTCTGTGATAAATACCTAAGATGAATGCCTCATAGTACACTGATGACTATGCTAGTCATACATTCAATTTTATAAGAAAATACCAAGCTGTTTTCCAGAGTAGCTGTACCATATTGCATTCCACCAGTAATACATAAGCAATTTAATTTCTCCGTATCTTCATCAGCATTTGGTGTTGTCATTATTTTTTATTTTATCCATTCTGATATTGTATGTTTAAATTATTTTCTGAAAGGCTAATGATATTGAACATCTTTTCATGTGCTTATATTTATCATATGTATTTGCTGCAATGAGTCTCCATATCATTTGCTCATTTTCTAACTTCTAGTTTGCCAAGTTTTATTCATAAATGGGTATTGAATTTTGTTTTTGTGATGATTTTATGAATTTTTCTTTAGCCTACTGAAAAGATGAATTACATGAGTTTATACTGATATACTCCAATACACTTCTAATTCAATTCAAGCCTACTGGGTCATAACAATCCCTTATCTTATATCCATACCAAAGTTGAAAATCTCAACTGAGGATGCCAAAAATGATACAAATAGAGTATCACATAGGAACTAGATTTATTCTACATTATACTCAAAGTAATTTCAGAACAAAATAACTCAGAACAAAACATCTCAGAACAAAATAATGAGTACATTTATATTTTTAGGTTTTGTTTCATAATTCTATATAATCTTTGCTGATTTTCAATGACACATGTAAAACCAAGGTATATTTAGTGAAATTTAGTTTCTATTCTTCCTCTCCACTTTATTTCTTATATCCCACTATAGTTAACACTTTTTAATTTTGTAGTTTATCTTACATGTTAGTTCTTCATATAAGCAAATGGAAAGTCCAGGAATGGAACCAAATATAAATGAAAATTTATTATGTGATAGAAGCCACAAATTAAAAAAGAAAAGATGGGCTGTTACAAAATTACACTGAGGTAACTGATTAACTTTTGTAAAAAATATAATTTCTAATGCTATCTATTTATCAAGGTAAATCCTTGGTAAAGATAAAGATATATAGGTATATCAAAATTAAAGCCAAAAAGTCCTAATTATTTTTCCCAAAACTGAATATACTGCTATGGGTTGGATCTCAAGTGGCCCCCAAAGGCTCCTGGTGTGGAAGCTTTGAGGCCCAGTACAGCCATGTTCAGAGGTGGGGCTCTGGAGATATGGCTGGATCATGATGGTCTGATTTCACTGATGGGCTCACAGGTGAATGGACTGCTTCTGGCTACCATGAAGTGAATAGCTTTGGTCTGCCATGATCTTTATGGCACAATGCACTGCCTCACCAGTGGCCTAGACACAATGGAACCAGCCAAGCACAGATTGAAAACACTGAACCATGGGCCAAAATAAACCGTTCTCTTTTAAATTGTTTTTCTCAGGTATTTTGTCACAGTGGCAGAAAGTTAACTAACACAATGTTCTTACTATATGTCCAGCAAATATATTCCTTGGTATTTACTCAAATAAGGGGAAAAATTTAATGTCCCCACAAAAACACACACACAAATATTTATAGAAGCATTCCTCATTTTTGTCAAGACTTGGAAGCAACTTTAGTACGTAACTGGATGAACTGTTGTACATACAGATAATGGAATATTTACTCAAACTCAGGCATTCATCCATAAAAAAGACATAGAAGAAACTTAAAAGCACATTACTAAGTAGGAGTTCATCTGAAAGTTTACAAACTGTAATTCCAATTTATGACATTCTGGAAAAGAGAAAATAATGGAAATAATAAAAGGACCAGTGATTTCCAGTGTTTGGAGGGAAAGGTGGATTTATAGGTTGTATACAGAGGAGTTTACGACAGTGCAAATATTCTGTACAGTGCTAAAGATGGCTATGTGTTACTATACATTTGTCAAAACCTATGGAATGTACAATACCAAGAGTAAACCCTGATGTAATCTCAGAACGTGCTTATGATGTGTCACTGTAGGCTCACTGACTCCAATAAATGCAACATTCTGGTAGAAGATGCCAGTAGTGAGGGAGGCTGAATGTAGAGAGAAACAGAGTATAAAGAGAAATCTACATACTCTCTGTTCAATTTTCCTGTCAATCTAAAATGGCTCTAAAACATAGTCTTTCTGTTCGTTTGTTTGATACAGGATCTATTATAGTTTGGGCTGGTCTTGAACTCACTATGTGGTCCAGGCTGGCCTTGAACTCATGACGACCCTCTTGCCTCAGCCTCCCAAGTGCTGGGATTACAGGTGTATGCCAATATGCCCATCCAAACATAGTCTTTTAAGAAAAAAGCCAAGATAGTTTTTTATAAATCCTTACAGTTAAGGAAAGTCTTTCCAAGAATATTTAAAATGTAGAAATCATACAGGAAGGACAGGTGCATTTAACCACATAAAAATTAAAGTGGAGGTCAGGTGGGGTGGTACATGCCTACAATCTCAGCACTCAGCAGGCTGAGGCAGGAGAACTGCTATGAGTTCAAGACTAGATTGGGCCTACAAGATGAATTCAAGGCCAGCCTGTACTACAGAGCAAGAGCCTGTCTCAAAAAGTAAATTAATTAATTAAAGACTTCTATAAGGTAAATAGCACCATAAAATCAAATAAAAGACAAACGGAAAATGAATATACAAAGAACCGGACAATGGGTTAATTTTTCAATAGACAAGTAACTCTTAGATTCTGGTAAGAGTGCTGTGGATGTGTCTCAGTGGTACAATGAGTGTTCTCATACATTAAGTCTCAGGTTCAATCCTCAAAGCAAACAAATAAACAGAAAGAATGCAAAAGGGGAAAGAAAAAAAGGGAGGAAAGAAACAAAGAAGGTAAACCAACAGGAAATGATTATATAAATTTATGCATCAAGAAAACATGACAGCTCTGTGTACTCATATAGAATGTGTTCATGCCAGGTGCAGAGCCACCTGTAACCTCAGTACTCTGTAAGACTGAGGCAGGGGGACTGTAAGTTCAAATTTAGTCTGGGCAACTTAGTGACGTAGCAAAATCATGTCTCAAAGAGAAAAAAAAGGCTGAGGATGTAGCTCAGTGTGAAGCCCTTCGGTTCAATTTCTAGTACTACAAAAATGAATGATTATCTGGGAGTAGTGGAATATGCCTGTAATCTCAGCACTCAGGACACTGAGGCAGGAGGATTGCCATAAGTTCAAGGTCAATCTGTGAGTTCAGGAGCAGCCTGAACTATATATATAGTCCCTGTCTCATAAAACCAAAAGAGAATGATTAGATAAACAAAAACAAACAAATGTGTTCATAATATATACTTTAGTAAAAGAAGCTTACTTTGAAAAAATATAAAGTGAATGATTACATTTGTTATATAAGAAGATGACCAAGTTATATTGCTTTAGTTTTAAGGAAGCTATAGAGCAATATATAGTGAACGATTCCATCTGAATCAAATAAATGCATAGACACAGAAAATTTTGCAAAAATTCATTTAAAATTGCTAGCAATAGTATCTGGGTGTGATAGCACACACCTGTAATCCCAGAACTCAGGAAGCTGAGGCAGGAGGATCATTGTGAGTTCAAGGCCAGGCTGGGCTACCTAGTGAGTTCAAGGCCAGCTTGAACTACATAGTGAGACCCTATCTCAAAGAAAAAAAATTTTGCTAGCAATAATCGCCTTCAGAGACAAGAACTCAAGGAGTAGAGAGGAGTAAGGAAAAACTCAGCACTTCAATCTTTACGGTTTATGTTGTTTGGACTTTTTGTAATAAGTACTCTTTAATTTAAAAAGAATAAGGCTGAGATTGTAGCTCAGTGGTAGGACACTTGCCTAGTATGTGTGAGGTTCTGAGTTCAATCCCCAGCTTCACTAGAAAGAAGGGGAGGGAAGGGAAGGAGAGAAGAAGAGATGTAGGGAGAAGGGGCAGGAGGGAGGATTAGGAAAGAAAGAAGAAATAATCCCTGGAGCTATTAAAAAAGAGTAAAAATAAATATAAACATCAAAGATGACTTTTAACCATAAAACAATGATACAGAGAGACAGAAGAATAATAACCAAGAATCAATATTATTTCTATTTTTCTAACAACTTTGATGAGTTCAAATTTTTGCTACTATAATGAATGACATGGAAATAAACCCAAGGATAGAATTGTACATTCTTCATTTATCAAAATAGTAAATAGAAGCAGTAGGAAATAAACATTTCTCATCTATTGCTATCAATTTAGCAACTCAGCACTAGACTGAAGATTCTGGTCAGCTTTAATTTTGTGTGAACCACTTCTCAGCATCCCTATCTGTTGCTATGGAAACAACTATGACCAAAAAAATCCCACAACCTTATTGTTCAGTCTCTTCAAACAGAAGAAAGACTTTTGAGGTGGTTAGAAGCCACAAAAGTCTTATTAGAAAATTTAATAATAAAAGTTATGGACAATATGCACATAGTAAACACATTCATGTCTGTTATAAATGTTAAAGCCTTTACTTAGTTTTGAAAGTATCACCGTCCTGCTCTTTGAAAGCTCTGGTCTGTTAAGAATTTTATTTACTGCTTTTAAGGCCATTTTTCTTTCATGCATAGAAAAAGAACAAAGAGATTTCTATTTAACATTTTTAAAAGATATGTTTAAGTATCCTCATGCCTAAGCAATTGTCAACATCATTTCTTCTTACTCTGTGTTAAGAATATGAGAAAATTAACGTGGATGTAGTACCTCTCATGCAGTACAATGCAACAACAATTAGGTTTACTGTTTGACTTGTTAGATTTTGTCTGCAGCAACAGAAGCAGCCTATTGGACAAGACATGTTGGATTGCATCAGATGCTCTTGACAATAAGAGGAGACACTTGTCAACAGGAAGATGGGATATTATGATATAGTTATGCTTTAAAAAATGAAAATCCAGTTTCTAAACTTATTTTGAGAGAAAGGTACCTTTTTTTTCTAGCTGATACAACATGTGGCATAATCCAGATTTAAAGACTGATACAAAAATCTAGTTGGCATTTTATATCTTTGACCCCAAAGCAAACAGGAGTATTCTACCTAAAGTCTTTTTTTCTGCCTAAAGGCCACTAAAGGCCATCAGCAGAAAATAGACTGACATCAAATTTAAAAATCATTTTGACTTAATGCCTTATATTTTAAAATAATCAATGCACTTTTAATCTATGAGCAAATTCACAAGAAACAGTGAAATTTCAAGTTTATATACCTTTATGAATTGCAACAAAAACAGCTGAGTTCAGTACCTAATTAGGTTGGGAAGAGAAAGCCAAGAAAGAACCCAACCTCTCCCACAGAAATAATGGCAGGAAATACTAAAAAAAGCATTCTGAACAAGAGACCAAAGGAGGAAAAGAAAAGGCAGCATATATGTAGTATCTTGCGAGTTACTCACTTCATTAACAAAAGTTTATCAATTGAATACTCAGTATTGAATAAGACTAAAAATATTCTCCCACCCAGGTTTCCTTCTAGTGGAAGAAATACACAGTTTAAGACACAAACACACACACACACACACACCGAAGACAATTTCATACATACAGACATGAGCAGATTTCAGGTCAAGATGGTTTTATAAGTTCATGCTTTGAGGGTACCTCCATTCTTCAAACACACAGTAATGAAACAGAATATACAAATGTGGAAATTAAAAAGATATGTAATGCTGAAAAACAAGACTAGCATCTTCATGGATGAGGATACCAATAGAAACATATAATAAAGTTGTAGACCTCTGGGGCTCTAGGTCTGTGAAAAGACAAAACAAGGAGCTCAACTCTGGAGGGGTAAACACAAATGAAAAGTATTCATCGAAGACATGAGTGTTGAATATGGACTCACTGCTTGAAATTATGCTCGGACACTGGGATCCCTTCTTTTAGAAGCCAAAACACCAGTCATCAATCATGGCCTGGGGTCATGGCTTCTAAAACTAATACACTGAGAACATAAACTCTGCAAATGAAGAATAAGTATGATCCATAAAAGAAAAATGGAAATAGTAGGCTTTAAAATGTAAAACTTTTTAATGAAAGATATTGTTAAAAAGAAAAGCCAGACAGGAAGAAAATACATGCAGACCACAATCCAACAAAGGACTTGTGTCCGGAATACATGAAAAATTCACAAAATTCAATGGTAAGAATCAAGTAATTCAATTAGAAAATGGGCAAAAGATATGAACATGTATATCACCAAAGACAATTTATAATGGTCCAAATAAGCACATGAAAAGATGTTCAACATCTTAGCCATTTGGGAAATGCAAGTTCAAACCACAATGATATATAACTATGAATCTATTACAACAACTTAAATGAAAATAAGGGTAATATACTATACCAAAAATAGGTAAAAAAAAAAAGTAGAGAAACTGGAGCTCTCTCATACACTGGTGATGGAAATTAGTTGGAGTGTTTCTCATGAAACTTAGCATACAATCCAGCAATCATATTTTTGGACATCTATCCTACAGATATGAAAACGTCACACACAAAGTTCTGTATACAAATATTCACAGTAGCTTTGTTCAGAAGAAACCCAAAGTCAAAAATACCCAAACATTCATCAGGAAAATTGCTGAACAAACTCTAGTATATTTTTATAATGTGGTGCTGTTCAGCAGTAAAAAATTACTAAGTACAACAAACTGAATGGACCTCAAGAGCTTTACACAAGAAAAACACAATCTCAAAAGGCATACATGGTCTCATTTCATTTTTGTAATACTCTAGAAACAACAACACCCCAAATACAAAAGTAGTAGAGAAGGGATAGTTATTGCCAGAGGGTGAGATTAAATGTGGGGTTGAAATGGGTCACATTAAGGACTTCTCTGGTGGAGATGGAAAAGTTCCGTATCCTGAGTGTGGGATTGGCTCACAAAGCTGTATGTGATAAAACTGCACAGAACCTCATACACAAGCATGAAAATGCAGGTTGAAAAACCTAAATACTGAACTAAAAAGCTAAGCACTGAATAATAAGGTCTGCAGTCAAGTCTGTACTGACACACCAATGTTTTCTTGGTTTTGATATATGACAGCTATATCAGATGTCAACACTGGGGAACCTAGGTGAAAGGTACACAGGTCTCTACTATTTTTACAGCTTCCTGCATGTCTACAATTACTTCACAATAAAAGATTTTTAAAGTAAGTAGAGAAAGGTGGGCTACTCAGTAAGTTAAATATTGTGTATTCCCAGGGCACAAAGCTAGGAAATAGATGTGCTTCACGGAGGAGTAAAGCCTAACAGGTACTGATGCTTGCCCAGTGGGGTAAGGTCGGAATTCCAACCTCCAGAAGTGTAAGATAACAAACTGGTATTGTTTTGAGGCATAAAATTGGTTTGCAATTTGTTATTGGTTTTGAGGCACAAAATTGATTTGCAAAAGAAAACTATAGCAGGGACTTACGTCTGTTGATTTCCAAGCATTCCCCTTTGGAGGTATTAGGGTTTCCTGGGACAACATGGTTTCCCCAGGCAACGGAATGTCTTGGCACTGGTCTTGTTTCAGTCTTGCCTTGGAAGCGTTTTCTGTCAACAATAAAGCTAAGATTTTACTTTGGCAAAAAAAAAAAAAAAAAAGACTGTATATTAGTTCATAATTTGTGAGTTTAATCCCTTCAAAAGATCATTCTGTCTACTAAATATACATCACATGCCAATGGTAATCTACAAGTATTAATCACGTTGACATACTCCTTTAAAATGTTTGGTAAGTTGAGAATGACCTGAAAAGACAACCAAAATTATAGTCCTTTCCCATTATCAACAATTCTATTGTAGCTTTATTATTTAAAACACTTTTTAAAAATATTAGTAGATACAGAAAATTGAGTTTGGAAATGTGGAAATTATTCAAGTGAATTTTAACAAGCCATGAATGACAAGTATAATTATTCTAATATTTAAAGAACTTTATTATTGCAGTGAAAATGTCATGTGTTCTAAGAGTTTCTAATTAGAAATGTATAGTTATTTGATAAGAAATGCAATTTTAAAATTTTAATTTAAACATAAAAGGCAAAATATATTAATAATAATAAACTGAGATTTCTACTTAAATTTATTTACTAATTTAATATTTTTGTGGCCTTAATCTTTGCCTCTTTAATTATGATCAGTACCAACTCTAAAAAGTTTACTCTTAGTCTAGGGTGTAGCACAGGAGTAAAATATTTACTTAGTGTGTGTGAGGGCCTGAGTTCAATCCCAGTCCACAAAACAAAATCTAACTCCAAAAGCATTACTGCCATCTCTGTCATATTAGTATTTACAATAAGAAGTACTATAGTAAAGGAATCTTCAAACTTTTGTATGTACACTATTGGGAGTATGAAAAGACTTCTGAGGGGCTAGGTGGGCATTGCCCCCTTAAAGAAATCAACTTCCACGCCCACATATTCACATGTTCTTTCCTAAAAGCTCATCTCTCTTAGAATACAAATGTCTAGAGGCACCAGGTTGGTTCTTTCCCTTTTCTACTCATAATAGATTTCCCCTTACTTTACAGAACAAAGACATATCCTTCACTCAGTTTATTACAGTACACCTTTCCAAAGCGTAAGAACCTCTAAGTCGCCAAAGCAACAGTTTAAAAAATACACACATGCACACACAAAAATCAGGGAGGCCCTTTAATCACGTCACGAAAACCGCAAAGTACCTTGTCTCACACATATACTTGTAAGGGCAAAGGAGTATGGCATAAGTAGTGACAAGGTATTTTGGTCTATACCAGCATGTTTAGTATTAAGACATCCCATGTTATGGTACGGGGCAGCAGGACAGGTGATGTTTTATTTAATGTTCCTGTGCTTTTTATCCTCTAACTATTGTCAAAGAATGTCTAAGAATGCCTTGAGAGCAAAGAACAAAAACCTAGGACAAACATTTATTATGTATCAAAGCAAGGAACTCATGAGGAAGTTTCAAGGTTGAGCTATTCATCCTAGGAAAAAAAATTCAGGAGTGTAAAGATTTGTTTCTACAGTTCTTTAAAGAAATAACACTTTTGGGAGGGGCTTTAAATCTGACTAGGTTTTTTCCATATTAGTGCATATTAATTATACTGAGTTTTGAGTTACACCTTGGTTCTTTCCACAAAACGGGTTGGTTTTTATAATTAGGTTATAAGGTATTTTCCAAAACCTGAATGAACCAAATGTATATCCTAATGAGTTGATTAAAATATATTTAAAGTATATCTATCATAAAATCATTTTTGAAAAAAGTATTATATTGTATATTTAATTAATATCTTTATTTTCCTCAGAGTTTCTGACTATATTATTTCATAAAAGCATGACAGGTTAATAATAATTTGATAAACTTTAGTAAAGGAGTTTTTGGTTTTATTCCCAGAACCACATTGAGAAAGTGACTCCTAATGACTGTTTTAACAAATCTTTTTTTAAGTAAAACATTTTCAACTCTGGTTTCAGTAACACTGTAGAACAATTTAATCAAGTTAACAGTCAACAAGAGATGAAAAATATTTTTATAATAAATCACTATATAATTTTGGCATATTACTTGGCAGGAATTCATAAACTTGATTGACAGTGCTGTAATAAAGAAATTCCTATTCCCACTTATAATTTATGTCGTTTTCACAGTATTTACATCTATAAAAATGTAAGGCAGAAACAATTTATGCTAAACCTTGCTTATACCTAGCAATAAGTAATATTTGTATATGCATAAATGAATAGTCCCATGTAGCTCACAAAAGCAAGCATTTACAATAAAATCATATTCTTTATTTTTTGATAAGTACTTACAAAAATTTGTAACACATTCATTCATGTGGTTTTGATAGATTGTGTACTAGCAATAACTATAATACATCAATCTAGAAGAAATATTTTAGCATTTAAAATCTTTCTCAAGGAAAATTTAGGAAAACAATCTCATCAGGAACAAGGCAAGGATACTCATTCGTATCAGTTGTATTCAATACAGTTCTTAAAATATTTAGCTACCATAATTAGGCAAGAGTAAAAATAAAAGGGACACAAATGAGAAAAAAGAAGTCAAATTATCCTGGTTTGCAGATGATATGATTCTATACTTAGAAGACCCTAAAGACTTTTAGAGTAGATAAATGAACTCGGCAATGTTGCAGAATATAAAATTAACATTGAAAAATCAATAGCTTTACTATAAAAAAAGGACTTAGAAAGAAATCAGGAAAACAATGCTATTCTCAATAGCTTCAAATAAAATAAATTACCTCTACATCACTATAACCAAGGAAGTGAAAGATTTCTATAATGAAAACCTCAAAATACTGAAGAAATTAAAGAAGACACTTGAAGATGGAAAGACCTATATTCATAGGTTGGCAAAATTAATAACTGTCAAAATAGTCACATGGTAACTAATGAGTCAATGCAATCCCTATCAAAATACCAATGACATGCTTCATAGAACTAGAAAAAAAATCCTAAAGTTCTTATGGAAAAACAAAAGACCCAGGATACCCAAAGAAATTCTGAAGCAAAAAGAACAAGACTTGGAGGTATCACAATACCTGACTTCAAATTATACTACAAAGCCACAGTAATAAAAGCAGCATGGTATAGGCAAAAAAAAATAATAATAATAAAAAAAATAAAGAGCCACGTAGACTAAGGGAATAGGATAGAGCACCCAGAAACAAACTCATGCAACTACAAATGACCATCTAACTCTGGACAAAAAACTGAAAAACATACATTGGAGAAAAGACAGCCTGTTTAACAGATAATGCTAGAAAAAGTAGATAACCTCTTGTAGAAAATTGAAACTCGATTCCTATTTCTTACTCTATATATGAAAATTAAAAATGGGTCAAAGAGGGGCCGGGGATTTAGCTCAGGGGCATAAGTGCTGCCTGGAAAGCGCAAGGTCATGAGTTCAAACCCTGGTACAAAAAAAAGCCGGGGGGGGGGGGGCTGGGGCTCAAAGACCTAGGCATAAGCCCTGAAACTTTGAAATTGCTAAAAGAAAACAGAGGAAACACTTGAAGCCAGAGATAGGCAAAGGCAAAGACTTCCTGAGTAGGACTCTAATAGCGTGGGAAATAATACCACAAATCAATGAATGAGATATCAAATTAAAAAGTTTCTGCACATCTGGGCCAGGGATTTAGCTCAGTGGCCTAAGTGCCTGCCTGGCAAGCCTGAGGTCGAGTTCAATCCCCGGTACCACCAAAAAAAAAAAAAAAAAAAAAAAGTTTCTGCATCATATCAAGGGAAACAATGAAGTAAAGAGATAGCCTACAGAATGAGGGGAAATTTTTACCAGCTATTCTTCCAACACAATTAATATCTAGAATACATAAAGAACTCAAAAAACACCAAAAATCAAATACAGTAGAGCCCAATTAATAAATGAGCAAGTGAATTAGATGGTCACTTATCAAAAGAAATATAAGTGACAAATAAGTATATTAGAAAATGTTCAACATCTACAGTCATTAGGGAAATGCAAATCACCCCAATCAGAATGGCTATCTCCAAGAATACAAAAAAACATGCAGACAAAAACAAAAAAAAGGGGAAGGAACCCTTTTACACCACTATGAGAATGTAAATTAGTACAGTCACTATGAAAATCAGTATGGAGATTTCTCAAAAATAATGAAAAATAGAGGTACCATTTGATCCAGCTATACTACTTCTTAATATATACCCAAAGCAAAGAAAGCCAGCATACTAGGGATTCCTGCATATCCATGTTTATGGCAGCACCATTCATAATAGCCAAGCTATGGAACAAGCCTAGATGCCCGTCAACAGATGAATGGATAAAAAAAATGTGGTACATATATGCACAAGGGTGTAATTCAGCCACAAAGAAGTAAATTCTGTACTTGCATGTTCTTCCTATTATGTGAAATCTAAAAAGGATGACAAGAAAATAGAAAGGAGACTATTACTACCACAAGAAGAAGGGAATAAAAGGGAGGGGAAAGGATATAAAGGTAGGTCATAGGGGGATGATATAAGTATATATTGTACATACTGAAACCCTCCTAAAATGTGAAACCAGGGAGAGAGGGCAGGGCAAAGAAGTGATAGAGTATGAAAATAATCTAAGTATGATGTGTACATGGATGACTCTCCTAAAATAAAACCCATTCATACAAAATAATATACATACATATATACACATGTAATACAGAAATGACTTTCAAGCATAAAAATATAAGGATAAAATTCTGTGAGGGTTGTGAAGAAAAACTTTAAAGGGAAAAGGGAATAATATAACATTTTCAGCATTATAAAGAATTCATGTTTTTTTTAAAATGAATGATTAAAGGTATCAATCCAAAGAGTATTTAGATACACCTGATAGTATGTTTTACTTTTCTTTGGTCTTTAATGTCAATATTTACACAATGCCAGGATATATTTTGAAGCTACTTATTATATATTCCCACATATCAACCTAAAATCATGAGAGGAGGTACATAATTTTTCAAAGTCTCTTTAGGATTTATACAAGAAAAGTATCTTGAAAAACAGTATGAGCCATAGATCTTGCCT